CGACGCAGGACGAGACTCAGGCTCACGACGCTCTGTAAGACCTCCTGTGGGACCAGTGTAGGGAGAGGGAGCAGGGAGAGGCGAGGCAGGCGGGAACTGTGACTGCGACTGGACAGGCGGAGGACACTCTACGGAGGGAGGAGGACAAGGAGGAGGAGCCTGACCAAGAACCTGCTGAAGAAGTGGTACGAAGTACGGTCGCGGCCGCGTAGCGTCTCCAGAACCAGCAGAGACACCAGCGGCAGGGTCCTCAGCACCAGGAGCAGCTCCAACGTCCGGGTCCTCAACACCAGCAGCAGCTCCACCGGCCGGGTCCTCAGCACCAGCAGCAGCACCACCGCTCGGGTCCTCAGCTCCAGTAGTAGCTCCAACGCCCGAGTCCTCAGCACCAGCAGCAGCTCCACCGCCCGGGTCCTCAGCACCAGCAGCAGCTCCAGCGCCCGGGTCCTCAGCACCAGGAGCACCACTCCGAAGACTGCAGCGTCGCGTGTACCACTCTCGGATCTGCTGAATGGGGGGGAGCTCCTGGGCAGGAGGGGAAGTACCGGGACGAGCTCCAATAGCACCTCTCCGGAGGCGGCAGTACTCGAGGTACCTCTCCTGCAGCTGCTGGGAGGAGAGGGCTCCTCCAGGTGTAGCACGCTCAGTCTCAGCACCCCCAGACTCAGCACCCCAAGGCTCCGCACCCCCAGGCTCAGCACCCCCAGGCTCCGCACTCCCAGGCTCAGCACCCCCAGGCTCAGCACCCCCAGACGCAGGACGAGAGTCAACAGCTACCTCGACAGGCTCACCCGGGTCTACCTGGGACACACCTGAGGGAGCGGCACCCTGAGGGGGGAGGGGGTCTGGTACCTCAGCACCTGGAGCGAGGAAGAGAGGCGGGGGGGGGAGCGGGGCAGTGCGGTAGGGGAAGAGGCGGTAGTAGGGGACGGACTCGTCAAAAGTGACGTCCTGAGAGGCCAGGACACGCCGCGAGGTGGGGTGGTAGAACTGCCAACCAGGGGCGTCCGGGACAAAGCCAAGGAAGACGCAGGGGACAGCGCGACGGGAGAGCTTGTCCGCGGACGTGTCGCGAACAAAAGCTCGGGATCCCCAGACCCGAAAACGCGACGCATCGCCAGCCTCTCCCGTCCAACGCAGTGTCGGAGAAGTCTCGGGCAAGGAGACACGGGGCCAGAGGTTGAGCTGATGCGCAGCATATCGGACTGCAAACGGCCACAGAAAGTGGGGGGCAGCCGCATGAACCAAGGAGGTACGAGCGACCTCCATGACCAAGCCAATGCGGCGCTCAGCAACCCCATTCTGCTGTGGAGAGGCCGGAAGCGTGAACGACTGCTCAATGCCCTCCTGCTGACAGAAGGCCTCCAAGAGGCCAGAGGAAAACTCTCCACCTCTGTCAGAGTGCAGACGCAGGACAGGGAAGTCGGAGCGGAAACGCTCACTGAGCTGGAGACGAGATCTGCGGATCCAAGGGATCAAGACATCAGGGACGTCACCCTTGGTGCGCAAGGGGAAGACCGTGGTGTAGCGCGAGAAGTCGTCAACAACAATCAGGAAGTACCTCTCCTGACCCTGACCACGGACGCGGGCTGGGCCCCACACGTCCAGGTGGAGCGTCTGCAAAGGAGCAGTCGTCGGGGGAAAGGAGGAGGAGTGAGGAGCAGCGCGCTGCCGCCCCTCGACACAGGGAAGACAGGGAGGAGCAGGCGAGTCGGGAAGGGGAGGGAGCACCCTGGGAAGCCCAGCAACAAGGTCCCGTTTGTGCATGGCCCGAAGGCGCTGCACAGACGGGTGACCAAGGCGGTGGTGCCAAAGGACAGTCTCATGCGCCAGAGAGCGACACGAGCAGGGGGCGGACAGCTGACCTGACGCAGACGCAGACGTAGACGCAGACGCAGCTACCTGAGGGGACTCAGTGGTCAGTGTGTACAGGTCCGACCCCGGCTCTCGAGTGAAAGTAGCCAGGTGGCGACCCGTCCGAGCACACGTGCAGTGTGTCACGCGCTCGTAGGCAGGGGTGAACTGGTGAACACCCGAGTCCTGGAGCGCACAACCTGCCACCAAGTTCGTAGAGAACGAGGGGAGGTAGAGACCTGACAGCGTGCCGGACGGGACCGCAGGACAAGGAAGGACAGTGGAGGAGGTCGCAATGACCGGACCCCCAGAGGGGTCAGCAAGGGAGACAGCAACTGGCCGAGCGAGTGGCTCAAGGACAGTGCGGTCACGAAAGAAAGAGCGAGAAGCACCTGAGTCCAGGGTGAAGGTGTGCAGTGCTGCAGTCGACTCAGTACCAGGGGGCACAGACGCACTAGCACCTAGGGCAGCAGCCTCACCAGGACCTGTGGGAGCGGACGCACTAGCACCTAGAGCGGCAGCCGGACTGGCCTGAATGCCCGGGTCGGGCGGAACACGCAAGTACTGAGCACCCTCTCCACTAATAGACATAGCATACATGGCAGTGAGAATAGCATCAAAGTCTAGAGCCCAAATATCAACACCCCTCTTTTCCAGCTCAGCCCAGCGCGGCAGCTCAGTGGCAGCAGGAAACTGGGTGCGCCACGCGTCGTTAAGGCGCGCGAAGCAGCGCTGCGTGGGGTGCGGCCTCCCACACTGCTGGCCGCTGCGGTCACCTGTGCGAATGACGTACGTGCAGGTAAAGCCACGCTGCGCATACCACTCACGGGCGGCCTGAAGCGTCGGGGCGGGCTGCTGACTCTGCCCTCCGCCAGTGCCTCCACGACCACCACCCCCACCGCCTCCGCCCCGGCCACCTCCACCCCTGCCGCCACCACGACCACCTCCGCCCCCGCTGCCGCCTCCGCCCCTGCCACCACTCCCGCCGCTGCTGTCTCCTCCCCCACTGCCGCCACTGGCCTCCTCAGCCGCGCCTCCACTCCCACCGCCTCCACCCCCACCTCCTCCGCCGCCACCCCCACCCCTGCCTCCCTTGTTCCTGCGGCGCCCGCTCGAAGCAGACGCGGTCCCGACCTTCTCAGCACCAAGGAGGTCGACAGCAGCAGCAGAGGCGACAGAGGGGAGGAGGGGGGAAGGGGAACACCCCTCAAAGAACGGGGTGCGGGGGTCGCCACGAGAGGTGCCTACAGCGACGATACTCGCCTCAGCTGCAAGCAGTTCCTTCTCGAGGAGGGCAACAGTGAGCTCAGTGGGGGAGCGAGAGAGGAAGTGGTCCCTGACTGCGCGTAGAGAGTCAGGGAGGCGGGTGACGATGTGGTAGAGAGTGATCCAGAGCGGGGGGGGGTTGCTAGTGAGAAACTCGGCAGGCATAGCAGCGCGAAAGCGGGCCTCACTAGTCTTAAGGTGGGTGATGAGGTCTGCGACAGTGTGAAAGGAGGCTAGGTCGGGGAACAGGTAGGGGAGAGTGAGGCGGCCTAGCGTGGCAGAAGCGGGTGAGGAGTAGCGGGCAACTACAGCTGTGTAGAGGTCCTTAGCAGTCTTGCACTGGCCGAAGTGCTCGCGCTCGTCTAGCGGCAGGGAGTTGCGAATAGCAAAGCGAGCGTGCGCATCACGGGTCTGCCACTGGGAACGCAGAGTGCTGTCAGCAGACGAGTCAGGGGCAGTGGCATGGCCTAGGGCGTGGTCGTACAGTGAGATATCTTCCTTGGCAGTGAGCTGTAGGAACAGGTGCAGGTCATCTAGCCAGGTTTCGAACTTCACTGGACGGCCCTCGGCATCGAAAGCTAGAACGGGAGGACTAGCCATAGTGACAGTAGCAGTAGTAGTAGTAGCAGTAGTAGTAGGAATCAGGCCGCTGGAAAGGTGTGCGGAGGGTCAACGGGGCCGGCGGGGCCGCTAGGTAAGGCGCGGGCGGGGTCGACTGTCCGTAGTGGCACACGAGCGGCAGTAGTAGGTAGCGTGGCAGCAGGAGCTGCAACGGCGCACTGGTGGCAGCTGCAGTGGCAGCAGTGTGCGCGGTAGGTAGAAAATAAAAACTGTGAGAGCGAGGGCCTCGCGGGCGGCGGCTGCAGAAGCGCACAGGCGGCAGCGGCGCACGGGCAGCGGCGGCGCACTGGCAGCGGGAGCGTAGGGGCAGCGGCGGCGCACGGGTAACGGCGGTGCACGGGCAGCGGCGGCGCACGGGCAGCGGCAGCGTAGGGGCAGCGACGGCGCACGGGCAGCGGCGGCGCTCGGGAGGCAGCGGTGCGCAAGCAGCAGCGGAAGCAGCGGCGTACGAGCGGCTGCGGGCAGCAGGGCGTGCGCGAGCAGGCGACGGGCGGCTGCGGGGCGTGCGTGAGTAGGCGACGGGGCCGCGGGGCCGCGAAGTGGGGCGCGAGCGGTGCGCGGGCAGTGCGCGGGCGGTGCGCAGGCGGTGCGCAGGCTGCGCGGGCTTAGCGCGGGCTGTGCGGGCTGCGCATGCGGTGCACGGGGCGGCAGCGGGCCTGAAGGGGCGATCGCGGGGCCGACTAGGTCGCTAAGGGGCGAGCGGCGGGTCGATCGCGGGGCCGACGGGGCCGTACGAGGCAGTGCGCGGGGCCGTAAGGGGCCTTAAGGGGCGGCGCGGCGGGGCCGTAAGGGGCGAACGCGGGGCCGACGGGGCTTAAGGGGCGGCGCGACGGGGCCTTAAGGGGCGGGTCGCGGGTCGCTAGTGCTTAGGGGCCGAAAAAAAAAAAAAAAAAAAAAAGTCGAGGCGCCCTAGGTAGGTAGGTAGGTAGGGAGTTAGGTAGCGGTGGGCCCTTAAAAAAAACGGTCCTAGCGAAGGACCTGCTCTGAAACCATGTCGAAATAACAGACTGGAATGGTGAACTAGAAAGGATTGTGAGTACAAATATGAAACCCTAATGTTGTGACCCCCCTATAGGCTAACCCACTACAGCCTACACAAATATAACATATACAATGTTTGACAAGTTGCGGCACCCCTTGGAAACCGGCTAACCCGTTCCGCGTGATAGAAATTGGCATTCCGCGGAACAACCATGACGCGTGCAACACGTCTACAAGCAATGGAGGAGGAACAGGCCGGACACCGCGCGACAAGGATGATGTCTAAGCGGAACAATAGGGAGGGTGGCGCTGGCGCCAAAAAAACTAATGCGTCCGTCGCGCGTGGCAAGGGGATAAAAAAAGTGGCGGCAAAGAAGGTCGCGCGCGGTCAAGAGAAGTCCGGCAGGAAGGCGGAAGACGACGGGAAGCAACCAACGGCACGCAAGCGTGTTTCTACAGTGAACAAAGAGGCGGATCATGCCTCTGCTGGAACCGAGCCCGGTCCGACTAACGACGGCACCAGTGGCGGCAACAAAGATGCGGCGCGAGGGAGCGCAAGTCTTGCAGTCCCGTCGGCGGAGAAAGAGGGATCGGCGACAGGGGGAAACCACAGAGGCGATCCCCGCGCCGAGCATGCCGCAACCAAGGAGTCCGAGGCGGAGGCATCACAACACAATCTGACGCTGCTCCAGCCGACCGTGGTCGAAATTTCTGCTGCCGTGCTGGATAAGGACAAGGTGGAGGAGCACGAGTCAATGGAGGATCTTAACCACAGCATCGCCAAAGTCGGTGGCTCTCCTCCTTCTGGTGGACGGGGGAGACGTAGGTAGAGGAAGAGCAATGAGGAGGACGAGTATGACACTGCCGTGCCCGGAGACATCACCACGCGGGCGAAGAGGCGGCAGACGACAGGCAGTCCGCGCGACGTCGATGGCGGGGAAGCACAGACAACGCGAGGCGCCAGTGAAGCTGGTGGTAAGGCGACGGGTCATGCATTGCGCTAGAAGGGCCGACCCGCAGCAAGAAAAGCATCCGGCGGAAAGAGGGGCAAGAAAGCAGTGAAGAGGACGAGGCCGAAACGGGGCGATGAAGACCTTGGTGACGCCGAGGAGGAGGATAATGAGGAGGAGGATGCGGAGGAAGAGGAAGATGAAGAGGTTGCGGAGGAGGATGACGCGGATGTTGGGGAGGATGAAAATGATGAGAACGATGGCGGAGGGGACAAAGAGGAGGAGGATGAGGATGAGGACGAGGAGGGCAGCGACGATGATGAGGAGGAGGAGGAGGAGGAGGAGGAGGAGGAGGAGGAGGAGGAGGAGGAGGAGGAGGAGGAGGAGGAAGAGCAGGGGGACGACGATGACGAGGATGAGGAGGAGGAGGAGGAGGAGGAGGAGGAGGCAGAGAGGAAGAGGAGGAGGAGGAAGAGGAGGAGGAGGAGGCGAACATGGCGGCAGTGAAGGGACGGGGCGGGTGTGGCAGACGGCAGAGTGGTACAGGAAAGGTGGGGGGCCGGACTCGCCATTCCCGAAAACGCGGGGCAGTTGACGCCGTGCGCGGCGAAGCAGGTGGCAAACCAAAGGCGCGTAAGGTGAAGGTCGAAAGTGAAGGGGGTGGTAAAAAGCAAGGGCGCCAGGGAGCAAAAGGGGATGGAGGAGGAAAGGGTGGCCGCGCCAAAGGGGTTCCAGTAGGTACTGGCAAGACTGAACCTGCCGTTAAACATCGCAGCGGCCGCCAAAGCACCCCACGGAAAGGTGGCAACGAAAAGGCGCTGGCAGCAAAAAAACCGAAGGGACAGCAGAAAGGTGAGCACCCTGGCCAATACACCTGGCGTGGTTGTTGCACTCTCTGCTCAACCGTGCCAAATAACAACATTCTTCACGTTGTTTCTCCCATGCAGGGAAGGAGAGGGTCGACGAATCTGCAAAGCAAGGTAAAGCCTCTTGTCTCAAAACTGTACACGGGTAAACCCGAATTAGATTCAAACCATTGATCTCATGCATGACTGTCTAACCCTCTATTGATACCGATCGACTCTAATTTCTTGATCCTACTCCCTCTCAATCTCAGCCCCTCGCGTTACAGGCATTGGGCCACCGGTAAGCGTGCAACGGATGCAGCTAACGAAAGGGGCCGGAAGAGCGAGTGTTAAAGCGCTATCCACAGGAGCACCAAGGTTCTTCACGCCATACTCCGGCCCGAGCAAAGTCGATGCGATGGCACCCGGCGTGGCTAGAGGAGAGGAATCTGAATCCCCTCCACCAGCCCCCGTCACGCACTCCCCACTCGCTTTACCCTCGTACCCATTTCGGCCACTACACGCTTCTCCTGTCCGGGGCAGGGCGGTCTCCCCCCTCGCTGGTCCATCGCGCGGGCATCAACCAAGCACTTCTGCCAATCCCTTCCCTGAGCTCCCCTTTTCCTGCCAGCGTGATAGTGTGAGGGCACACGGGACTGCTGCAGAAGATGCTGAAACCCTTGGCCAGAGGGGGGATTCTTCACACCCTTTTCCACCGCTCATGGGTGACCTTGGTGAAAGTGCGGAGCACGAGCAGTTTGTTACACAGGATGAGTTCCAGGCGCTGCAGTCTGAGATGTACGCCATGTTTGCACAGCTCGGCCTGCGTCGTGGAGTACCAGCCAGTTATGCTGGCGGTTCCGCAGCCATGCCTATGGCTGGCACCCCGCCGCCGATGAGTGCCGTGGACAAGGCACGAGTGCTAGTGTTGCAGGAGACAAACCCATTCCCGGTATGTGGCGGGCCAAATGGGCCAGGTTGGGGTTCACGTGACTACCGGGATGTGAGGCTTGGGGCTGACGTGGCGGCGTGGAAGGGTACACGGGAGCGGCGCGTGACGAGGCAACGCGAGTCAGGTGGGTGGGGGGGACGTGGCATGGGGAGGATGGTGTGACGTGGCAAGTGGGGCTGGTTGCTGGTGGATGTGGCGGATGGAGGAGGGTGTGACGTGGCGGGATGTGAGGCTTGGGGCTGACGTGGCGGCATGGAAGGGTACACGGGAGCGGCGGGTGACGAGGCGACGCGTGTCAGGTGGGTGGGGGGTGACGTGGCATGGGGTGGGTGGGTGTGACGTGGCAAGTGGGGCTGGTTGCTAGTCGACGTGGCGGATGGAGGAGGGTGTGACGTGGTGGGATGTGAGGCTTGGGGCTGACGTGGCGTCGTGGAAGGGTACACGGGAGCGGTGCGTGACGAGGCGACGCGTGTCAGGTGGGTAGGGGTTGACGTGGCATGGTGTGGGTGGGTGTGACGTGGCAAGTGGGGCTGGTTGCTGGTGGACATGGCGGATGGAGGAGGGTGTGACGTGGCGGGATGTGAGGCTTGGGGCTGACGTGGCAGCGTGGAAGGGTACAAGGGAGGGGCGCGTGACGAGGCGACGCGTGTCAGGTGGGTGGGGGGTGACGTGGCATGGGGTGGGTGGGTGTGACGTGGCACGTGGAGCTGGTTGTTCCCTGACGTGGCGGATGTAGTAGGGTGCGACGTGGCGGGATGTGAGGCTTGGGGCTGACGTGGCGGCTTGGAAGGTTACACGGGAGCGGCGCGTGACGAGGTGACGCGTGTCAGTTGGGTAGGGGGTGACGTGGCATGGGGAGGGTGGGTGTGACGTGGCAAGTGGGGCTGGTTGCTGGTGGACGTGGCGGATGGAGGAGGGTGTGACGTGGAAAGTTCACACAGTCCACCCTGTGGTTACCCGGCCAAAGTCATAACTGATGGTTTCTCTCTCCCCATGTCGTGCTGTATACCCCACACCCCTGCACAGAACAAAGCCTACTTAGTGTGCTCTCAGCTCCTGTTTCTGAACCCCCCGGAGAAAATCCAGTACTACCCTGCACCGGAGGAAGTGTTCGAGGCCTTCGCTGTCCACTTGTCTGCAGAAGGGCTCGAGTCAATGAAGCTGTTGTGGTTGCACAATGACAAGTCAACCATGGGTGTCTTCAACCACCAGATGTCGTCAACAAGGTCAACAATCAACACCACCCTCAGGCCAGCAACGTACGCCGGCATAGGCCTCTCCGATTACGCCAATGTGGTGGATAGCCTGGCCACTGAGCTAAACCCAAAGAAGTGGTTCAACGACGAGCAACTCCTGGCGGAGTACAGAGATGGTATGTGCGACTCGAACACACCATATCCCCCCTGCCCATATGCCAGTTGGCAGCTACAAATAGCCGTGCGGTGTTCCTCACCCTGACTCTCACCCCCCCACTTGATTTCTCTGCACCCCCTTTCCAACCCATACGCTCCCTGCCAAAATGCAAAACAGTGGGCCCTCAACTGGCACTTTGACAAGGCCACCAAGAGCCGCATGGTGGCATGGGGCCTGTTTTCGGTAGATATGTGTCTGTACACCCATGCCTCATCCCCTAAACCCCTTGCCTGTACTTCATCTAAATCCCTGGTCGCTTAGGCGTTTGCGGTTACGTAGGGTGTGTCGTCTTCATCGCTTTCAGTTGGCTCATATACCCGTAACCCCCCCTCATATACCATCAACCCAACCCTACACCACATTGCATATCGAGTGGCCCCTTCTGCAGGATAAGCGTCGCAAGCGAATTCCGGCCCAGCCGGAACAAAACAGGCCGGACTACTTCGAGTGGTGTGACAAGGTCAAGAAGATGATACATTTTGCCGTCGTGGAGCGGCGGATCCCACACGATCCGGCTCAGGGTGCGTTCGTCTTCCCGAACAAGTTCCTCATCGACGATGGCGACCTTGGAGATGTTGTTCTTGCCCACCGGGCGCTTGCAGGGCCCACCATTGAGTAGGCTATTTGACCTGGTGCTAAAACTGCTGGTTGTTAAAATGCTGAATAATGGTTGTTGTAAACAGGAATATTAAATGTGATTCTGAAATCCTCAATACCCAAAATAAAACAAAAACAAAAACCAATTTTAAATAATTTTGTCACGAAATTGCACCAAAACGGATTGCGCCCAAATGTCATCCGGAAACACTCGCCTGCCAAATTGGAACTTGACCCGAGCCAAACCTTGTCGCGAGATGTGTGTCGGAGCTCCTATCAAATGACTCCAACCGTCGGTCGAAATTGGGTCCGGATTTTTTTTATGCGAAGACAATCCCAATCAAAATTCGTCCAAACTTGGCATAGGGTTTTTGTGATGCACGTGGCCTGTTCTCCTGGTTTGCATAGCCTGGCCATCGCCGCTCTCTCGTCCCTCACCAATCCTTCCCATGGGTCTCGTGGCAGCTTTCCTGTGCCCTTGAAAGTTGCTTTCCTTGACATTTCTGCTCTGTACACCCGCGCGTGCCTCATAAAATCGAAAATCGCCGCCCTTGCCACTTTCTTCCTCTGAAATTTCTCCTTCCTGTACACCGCATTTACCCGAGCCAACCATATCTGTCTCATTGTCACCGCTGCCAACGTCGCCCCCGGAATTCCGGATTTTGTTGCCCCCGTCTGGAAGAGCATGTCCCCCACCGTCTCTGTCATGTCCCCCGAATCGATCATGCGGAGTGAGCTGTGAAGCGCGCCAATAACCGGTTGGATGATTGGGCAGGTGCGCATGCAGTGGTCGAGGGTTTCGGACTCCCCACAGTGCGGACAGTAGCCTCTGGCGCCCAAGAAAACTTATCTTCCCCCGACCTGAAGGTTCTTGCTGTGCATCCGTAGTACCACGTCTTGCTCTGTAGGGGATAGCCAGCGAATCTCTCCTCCGCAGCACCTCTTTCTAGTCGATCTTTTTTCCCCACTCCATTTCCCACTCGTTCTTCCTTCTCGAGGCTACTACATGACCCGTAATCACCTTCCGTATAGCCCTTGGCGCCGCTGGCTTAAGATCCCCACCTAGAAGCTGGATCTTGCACAGCCGTGCCCGCGGGGCGCCCATCACCCCGAGCAGCGTCCCTTCCCTGACCATCATCGGTGTTACGCTTTCCGCTTGGAAGTTAACGACAATCGGCCACGTCGGGGCCTATAGGGTCCGCCCGTCTCTGCAGAGCAGATGGTCCGTTTTGACCCTCCCCCCTTCTTCTCCGCGTACAGTCCAGTACATGAACTCCTGCATGCGTGCCAGAACTGTATGCACCACCTCCGCTGCTGCCGTAACCGCCGCCGATGTTTTTGGTGCCTCCAGTAGCGCTCTCCATCCTGCCGGAGCTGCTGCATAGGCCTTGGTCGCCCATCTCGCAAGAGCCACGCTGCCGAGCTCTTCCGTCAGTACTCTGACCCCTTTTATCTCTCTCCCCCCGTCCACCCTGGTTGTGAGCAGGTCGCCGAGTCTAGTCCTTCAGATGCCCTCCGTCCCCTTCCGGTTCCCGGACGTGCTATCTCCACGGAACATGATGCGGCGGTTGAAGCAGAGAAGCTCCCGCTCCGCCTCCCATCCGTTGGTCAGCTCCGGGAGGTCTGCAAACGGCGAACCCCAGAAAACATCGACGATCGCCTTCCACCTCTGGCTTCCTCTGTCCCAGTGCTTGCTGGCTGACTTGTGCGCAAAGAGCGTCGCTGTCCCCTGCGGCATCGCTGCCGTTTTCTCCGCCAGCCACCTCTTGGTAATGTTCCTCTCTGTAAGCAATTTCCCCACTGCTCGGATCGCCAGGCTGTCTAGTCTGTCCTTTGGGTCCACCAACCCCAGTCCCCCTTCCTTCTTGGGCAGCCTGGCCAGCTCCCCACTCCACAAGACAAAGATCTTGTCTGCTGTTGCTTCCCCTTTTGACACGTAGTTATCGCATGTCTTCTGTATCTTCGCCCACGGTGGGTATATTTGCGCCTGGAAGAGGAAGATCGGCATTACGTAGTTGTTAATCATTGTGACGCGTTCGGCTGTCAGCAGGTGCTGATTCTCCCATTTAATCATCTCCATCTTCCCCCTTTACCACGCTCTTTCCCAGGATGGCGCTGCTTCCCCGTCCGACGTGACCCATATCCCGAGCAGCCGTTCCGGTTTGCCCCCTTCCGCCCACTAGAAGGTCACCCCTGGTAGTGAGGTTCTCCCCTTGTTCTTTCCCAGCAGCATGACAATCGATTTCTCTCGGTTTGTCCGCAGCCCTGACAGGTTCCCGAAGACCTCTAGTGCCTCCGTCGCCGACCGGAGCTGGTCTGCACCGTGGAGTATGAGTGATGTGTCGTCTGCGTAGCCCACGTACGCCACCTCCTCTCCCCCTTCCGCCTTGACGCCCAGGCTCTGCTTCTTGATCTCGGCGCATAGCGGCTCCAGCGCGCAGAGGAAGAGGTAAGGTGCCAGCGGGCACCCTTGCCTGAATCCCCTCCTCATCTCTACTCTGTCACCGATCCAGCCGTTTATTGCCAGCCTGGTGCCGGACCCTTGGTGGAGCCCCTTTGTCCATCGTACAAAATTTGCAGGTATTCCGAGCTTGGAAATCGTCTCGAACAAGAAAGGCCGCGATACCGTGTCGTAGGCAATTTGAAAATCCACCAACAATAGGTACCAGTCCTCACCGCCATTGTCCGCCGCTTCGATTGCGTCTGCCACCACCGTCACTGCATCCGCTAGGCTCCGACCCGGTATGAACCCATGCTGCTCCTGCGAGATGACCAGGTGACGTTCCTTTTTCAGTCTGTTTGCGAGCACCTTCGCTAACACCTTGTACACCGTGCTGAGGAGAGTGATGGGCCTGTAGTTCGACAGCTGATCCTTGTCTCCTTTCTTGTGAAGCAGAACCGTGACCGCTGGCGAACGCTTCTGGGATCTCCTCTGTTAGCTCGAAAGACCGGACAAAATCCATGAAGCTGCCGACCACCAAGTCCCAGTGTGACACGAACAGCTCCGCCGGGAGTCCGTCCTGCCCCGGCGACTTCCCTTTCGGGAGCCCTGACAATGTCGCCTTCACTTCGCTCTCCGTCCACGCCGCTCCCAAACGATCCGCCACTTCGTCCGGAAATCTCATATCCACTACGACGTTGTCTGCGGCCAGCGGCGCCTGCCCCTGAGCCTCTCCGAAAGCCTCCGCGAAGTGCTGCGACGCCGCCTCCAAGACTCCCTGTGCGCCGACGTATCTCTTCCCCTTGAAGGTGACCTCCTGGATCGCCATTCGCTCCTTCCGCATCTTCATCTTCGCGGACAGGAAGGGCGATGGGACTTGCAGCCGCTCCCTCTCGTCTTCCCGGTAAGCCTCCAGCTGCTCTTCCTTCTTCAATAGCTGCTCCTTAGCCGTTCCACCTCCGTTGTGAGGTGCCGTCGAGTCCCTGCCACCCTGCCACCCGCTCGTGCGCCCGTAGTCCTGACGTGAGCCACGGAAGCATGTTCTCAAATTTACATCTCCCTCGCCTCCCGAGCATGTCCACAACACCCTGGATCACCTTGCGCACCCTTTTTTTATCCTTTTGTGTCGCCCGAAACCTCCACAGGCCCGGCCCGGTCTCCTGCTCCGACACAATCTGTAAACAGATCCGTATGGCGAACCAATGGTCCGTCAGCGTCCTCGGCACCTCCGCATGTTCTGCCTCCACCAGGCTTCCGAGCATTGCCGACGACACCAGAGCTCTATCAATCCGTGACCTAGCTTTCGTCGCCCTGTCGCGGAAGGTGTATTCCCTGTCTGTCGGGTGAATCGCGCGGAAAGCATCGCGGAGACCATGCTGCGGCCATAGATCCAAAAATCGCTGGTTCTCCCTCCCAGACCCTGCCCCTGATGACTTATCTAGGTCCGGGTCCGCCACCATGTTGAGGTCTCCCACCACCACCACATTCATCTGCGTCGGCTGTGACTGTACGAACGAGGTTAGCTACCCAGTGTGAAACTTCGCCCTCCTGCACGCCTGCGCCGGAAGGTACGCGGCGATCAGCCTAAAAACCTCCTTCCCTCCTTCCACCGTCAACCCAGCGGTCTTCCTGACGGATGTGCCGACACGTTTGTGAAACGGATGCCCTTCCTGAAAGCCATGACCGCCACCCCGCCGGTCGTCTCGCCCGGACCGACCGCAGCCCACGCCTTTGGTTTTATGTATATCCAGAAATTATGATCCTCCTTGATTCTTGTGACTGATAAAACAACTATGCCGGCCGCCGTGCGCAGCCATCGACGATGTTTGGTACGTTTGCCATTGCTATTGAGGCCATTCACATTGACCCCGCAGATGGTAAGTCTCGGTTTGTTATCCATTAATCCACTCAGTCAGGAGCCCCTTGCATCCACGGGCTTTATTACACAGGGAACATCTCAAGTCATACAGGGTACAAACTACTCATTTACTCCCTTGTCTCCTCCTTCCTTCCCCCTTTGCCGCTGTGCAATACAACTGCAGCCAGGACCTCCGCCACCCTACAGCTTGAACTCCTTCCGAATGTCCATCAGATACTGCTTCTCCTTGCTCGCACGCGTAGCTGCTTCTGCTTCGAGCTGCTGGTGCGGTGACGAACGGACTGGATGTGATCTGTTGCCTGAGCAAAAGTGTTGCCGTGAGCCTTCCCGCATTCCTCCTGCACGCAGAACCACTCCTCCCTGATCCCACCATTCGACACCAAAGCAATCGCCGGATCCGCCAGGATGAGCTTCGTCGCCGTCGATAACTTCAGGGAAGCAGCTGCATGGAGGGGAGGTAGTACAAAGGTCAGCTCAAAGTCCTGCCGCTGCGGGTACCTGAAAAACACGGTGAGATCTGAGGCCATTACCGTTGATTTCATGGGTCCGCTGCAGCGTCAAACTCCATCTCCCAATATTCTCTTGCCTCTCTTTGACATAATCATCGTGAAAACACGTCATATGCATCCCGTTACAGAAAACGCAGGTAAGAGCAGGAAAAGAAACGAGCAGCTCGGTACCGTGGACCTTGTGAGAGACTCTGTGCCACCACTTATACTTATCCCCCGGGTGCCTGTACACCAAGCCCTTGATCTTATCCGTATCAGCCCACGAAACAGGATCAAGCACCCTGTGGAACGTCGAACCATCGAGGAACGCAGTGCGACCACGCTTCAACAGCAGAGCAGACACCAGGCTCTTCTGGATCATCTCAGGAAAAATCACCGCCCGGACGCCCTTAAGGAGAACTTCGATAGCTTCCGGGTGAGCCGCGCACTCCTTCAGGTACGCAGCATTTTCGGGGTGCTGCCAGCCGAGCGTCAGCTTTTTGTCGTTCATTGTCATGTGGTCCACCTTCCGGCACCATACAAAGTTCGCATCCGCCGCGTACTGGAAAACCACTTGCAGGCGCCCGAAATGAGTCTTTGAGAGGTAAGTCGAAGGTAGCTGATGACACTTCGTAGTCACGTGGGCATTCTCTGACAAATGATCCTTCCACACATCCAGCAGGTTCTTGACTGTGTCGATGGTCCGCGGCACCTCCTTGTGACACGCAAACAGGATCAGGAGCGTGATCGCGAAGCCCGCCTGCGAGGCGATCTCATTAAGAGCCACCGGGTCCTGGCACTCATCCGGGTCGTCGCTGAGGTAACCTGCATCCTCCTCAGCATCCACCACCGCTTTCTTCCCATTGTCCACTGGGCCCGACGCTGTTGACGAGCTGCCAGCCACAGGAGCCTGATCATTGATCTTGCCCTTCCCTATGTTCGGCAGATCGTCCAGCTTGAGTGCCGACGTACGCGCTGCCAGCTTGTTGATGTCTTCGACGCCGAACGGGCCGTCCGTCACGCCGTTGAACAGCATTTTGGGAGTAACCGGCTCTTGACGAGATTCGAGCGATTTTTTCCCGTTGACAGCAGCAGCAGCCGGAGCCGACGAGGACGAAGCATCGTTGCCAGGAGCCATCGGGTGATGATGAGAGCAGAAGGCAAGAGTCTGAGAGGCTGAAAGCTCCGCTGAACTGAGCTCTGGTGGCTTGTCCGAGGACTGATGCATCTTCTTCCTTGTATGCTTGAATATAAAGTAGTCACGACTGTTGACGAACACTCCCAGGGTAGGATAAGAAGTTGATAATAGAAACATCGATCCCACCAGGAACCTTGGGAGCGTCAGCGGACCATGGCCTCCCATTGTCCAAAACCGGAGAAGCCTTGAAAATGCCTGACAAGAAGACCACGGGAACTGTGTTCGCTGTATGAACACGAAGAATGTACCCACTGAATCTTAAACTACCCACAAAAGTCATAAGGAATCCAAATCTCGGCTTTAAACTACCGGATGACAAGAAATTGTAGGACATTGCGACGCTTGAAATCCTTAGGAGCTGCCATGGCGGCCTCGAGCTTGTCATGCTTGTCATCCTTGAATCGCGAGTGGCCAGTAAGCAAGATGCCAATAAGTAGGAACGTGTCGCAAATCTATCGCGACATGCTTTCGTCGTTTCGCGAGCGCGCACAGTCGTTCGTCATTTCTCGCAAAAACATAAGTTGTCCCTAGTTGTGTATCGTGCCCGATATCTATGCGAACTTCAAGGGGGAGGGCTGAGCGCAGCGAAACGCGATACTTGTGGGAGAGAAGGCTGTGTGAGCAGCGAATTAAGGGCGGGTCAAAAGAGTACGTCCGAATGCGGTTGAAAAATGTTCATATTTGATCTACAGCTGTCTAATTGCACCAAAAGATGGTTGGTTAGGGTACTCTGCAAATATGTGCATTGTTTGACCCGCCCTAATTCCAGCAGCGAAAGTTGCGCACGAAGTCAAACTTGTAATAATTCAGCTGCTTGCGCTTTGATAGGCTCCGACTTGTTACCTCGGTAACATCAAGCTCCACCACCGTTCATCAGTGGCTGGCTGCCGCATTCCTCGCTTCACTTCGCCAGGGCAAACCAAAGCTCGCAAACGATTGCGTCGGAGCCACATCTGCCATAAAGCGCCAAGCCCCTACACCCATCAACAAGTGACCAATTCCAGCTCCGCAATCGCGTTCCTACTAACGCCTCCTGCGGGGGACTGCCAGCCTTGAGCGTTAGGCTCTTCCACTGTGAGCGACTGGATTTGTCAATAAACCACCTTCCAGAGCAGCCATGGCAACGTTTCTTTTGCCGCTTCAGTTGTGCTATATGATAGGAGCGCTAGCAGCTACACCTTTATACACCACATGTGCCGTACTACTTCTACATACCACTAGCCTCGTATTCTACCATCGCGATAACATTGTATCACCACCATCTTCGCCTAGCACTGCACTATTCTTTGCCCGTGCGTAACGCGCGCAACAAGTGGCGTCACTCGAGAGCTTGTCGGTTGACGACGAACGCGGCGTGAAGCGTGACTCGGTTGCGGGTGCTACCCAGCTGACGTGGCGGGTGACACCATCATGGCGTGATCTGCGTCCACGTAACCAACGAGGTTGAAGGAGCGAGTCGTGAGGGTGGAGTAGGTGATGCCAATGTGTGGTGTTGAGATGAAGTATTGCAGGGCGCGCTGTAGATCCAGCATGTGCTCCCCTTCAGGCCGCTTGGCATACTGAGCGAGTTGGCTTGAGATGTATGACAAGTCAGGCCTGCATGTCACAGCGGCAAAGAGAAGGTAGCCGAGTTGCTGCTGATACAGCTGGTGTTCCGTAGGGTTGAGCGGGGCGGTAACGATGTTGGTATGTGTGACCGGGGTACAATAAAGAGTGGAGAGGTTGGCTGGCTTGATGTTGAACTTGGCAGCTAAGAGATGGATGGCATCATCAGCGTAAAAGATGTTGAGGCCCAAGAACTGGGTCATCATGTTGTTGCTGGTGATTTCAACGCGGTTGCTGAGGTTTTTCTCGAACTGCGCGAGGAGGACGTTGCTGGTGCCGGTGTAGAGCAGGTTTATCACCACATATACAGTGAGGAGGATGTAGTCGCCGCAGTAGTGGAGGTGGTACATGCCAGGATCGTGGGGCAGTTGGGAGAAGCCAATGTCGAGGAGAATTTGATGGAGATGCTGCTGCCAGAGTCGTGGTGCCTGTTTGATGTCGTAGAGAGATTTTCGGAGGTGACAAACGCGATCGTCGCCGTCGCCGTACGTGTGGGGTTGCTCGACGAAGATGAGGGCATCCATAGTTGCGTAGAGGAAGGCGTTTTTAACGTCGTTCTAACGGAGGGGGAGATGCTTCGCGACGGCGATGGCGAGGAGGTTGCGGACGGAGGTGTGATGGCTGACAGGTGCGAAGGTCTGATCAAAATCAACGTCATGACACTGATCGAAGCCTCGTACGACCCAACGCACTTTGAAGTGCTCAATGGTGCTGTCAGCAGCGGTTTTGACGCAGAAGACCCACTTGCCCGAGAGGACGCGTCTCCCCTTCAGTGCTGCGCGGTTGGCTCCCATGTGTCTCAAGCTTCGAGCGCGGCGACTTCGGCGTCCATTGCAGCATGCCACTCCTTGGCGTAGGGGCCTGTGAGAGCTTGGCGCAGGGTTTTGGGTTCAACCGCAGTCGGCGGACGGGAAACAGTGGCATGAAGACCGAGGATGTGGAGGCCTGAGAGGCCGGGGCTATGCCGCTGATCGCTGTTGACTTCCACCACGTCGTCGTCAAAGTCATGGCCGGTGGAAGGGGTGGGGCTGAGAAAGGAGTCGGGCGAGGACTCGAGTGGAGCGCTGTCCTCGTCCTCATCTTCATCGCTCCATGGGCGAGGGCCAGGGTGGGGATCCGTAGGATCCTGCTCCGCGAGGGCCGCTTCTGTTTCATCTTCTGCGTGGCTGCGTGGTGGGCGCTCATATTTCGCGATGTTGTGTTTGCCTATGGTGCGGTCAGTGTCACGGTCGCAATGGAACTTGCGGATGGTGAGATCTTCGTAGAAGATGACGCCGCGCGCCGCGACCACCTGTAAGGTATCGTGATCGAGGATGTTCCAGGCGTTGTGTTCGAGGCTGATGCCAAGGTGCACGCCCCAGCGAGCGCGTCGTTCGATTTTTCCCGTGGTCGTCGCTGCTGGCCGATACTGTACCATACACCCCCAGACGCGGAGCATGGAAACGTTGCCCTTTGTGTTGCTGAACTTGAGGTGTGGGGAGAGGTTGTCTGTGTTGGCGGTGGTGCTGAGCAGGTTGTGAAGACGAACGGTGTAATGCATGGCATAGGGCCAGTACTTTGCGTCAACGTCGCTCTGCTGTAGAAGTGCACGAACCTTGGTCATGAGTGTGCGATTGGTACACTCCGTGACACCTTGCTGGGGATGCGCGTAAGGGAGGGAAAGCTCCGTGACACCTTGCGATTGGTACACTCCCTTCTTTGCAGGTATTCCGCTAGCTTGTTGCTCTTGAATTTGGCAGCGCAGTCAGTTTGCCAAAGTTTGAGTGTGCAGCCGGACTGAGTCTCTGCGTTCGCATGCCAGACCTTGAAGATGTCAAATGCCTTGCTCCTGTGAGAGACGTTGGCCACCCAAACGTAGCGAGAGTTGGCGTCGACGAAGGTGAGAGCATATTCTTTGCCGTTGATGCCAGTTTGGGTGATTACGATAAAATCGATGTAGACTTTTCATAGTTTCTCGTAGCGGTTTGTTCCGAGTTCAAGGAGCTTGAAGGGTTGGTGAGTCAGTGCGGCTTCAGGGCAGATTGTGCATCCGATGCGACGAGTGGTGTTGACAGGGATAAGTGTCTTGTCAGGGCGAAGCAGTGTTTTGGGAAGGAAGACTTGTGCATGGATGCAGTTGTTGAGGACTTCCTGTGAGAGATGTCCGAGGCGTTTGTGCCAGAGATCAGGTTGGGCACGAATAGCAGGTGAGCGCGAGTAGAAGGCGAGTAGTTCGGCAGTGCTGATGGGAGTTGGTTGTGAGATAAGCTGTGGTGAGATAGAGAGTCCGAGTGCTAGGATGAGATCACGAGCAGTGGGGGTAGTAGTGGTTGTGGTGATGGCAGCGAGCGGTGTGTCATCTGTATCTGTTGTTTCTTCTGGGAGGTTTGGTTGTGGCATGTAGTGAGGTGGTAAGTGTGTGTGGCTGTGGGGCTAGGTTGGGGTGAACCGGTTGGGCCAATGGGCGTGGACTCAGTATGGAGTGGGCTTCGGGGATAGGTGCGATAAGGCAAGATGGTATTACGATCTGTGGGAGGTCGAGAGTCTGGGGAGGAGCCTCGGGAGTCACTAGTGGGTTAGGTACCTGTGGGAGGAATGCCGAGGGGGCGTGGAGATCCGTAAGGGCCAGCGGCTTCTGCGGCTGCTTCTGCTTTGGCGCGCGCTATCGTTGCTTCAATTGGTTCTTCTTCCTCCTATGGTGGTGTTCCCCAGTTAGGCACTGGACCTCCCCATCCAGTCGTTCCAGTTCTGCTTCCCCAGCCTCTAGCTGCTGCAGCCGCCGCCGCCTTTGCTTCGTCGTCTGCACGGCGGCGTCTTTCTTCATCTTTGTGATGCTGAAACTCCTCAGTAGATATGGTGCGATGGGACCAGAGGTAAGTGACATGATATGTTTCCCGGGTCAGTGGCAGGGGGTTGTTATTGGCATCAAACGCGCCAGGGCCAGTGTAGCGCGTGAGGAGGTTGAGGCAATCGTGGACAGTGGGGTCAGTCCGAGTTTTGCGTGGTTAGAAGATGGTGAGTGCTGCAGCGAGTTCTCCATCCCTTATGCAAGTCGACGATGTCCAAGCCAGCTAGCTGAATGACCGGTGTGGTCGCTTTAGGTGAGGCTAGCTCTGCAAGGGGCTCCTCTGTGTCGGCAGCTGCGTATGCTGCTGTGGTTGAGAGACATCGTGCAGCTGCAGCGGAGGATTCGCCTTCGTCAACTGGTACTTTTCCCTTGGTGGATGGCGGGAGGTCACTGTGCGTGGGTGACTGTAGCCTGTCTGTTCTGTCTTCGGTTGTTGAGGCAGTTGGTGTGCGGCAGTTTCGACAAAGGCCATCAGGTCCAGGGGCGTGAAGGTCAATCGCCCTTGGATGAGCGTGATGCTTGATCCAGGGGTGGCCGTTAGGGTGAGTCGGTTTGTGAGACGATACAACTTCCTGTGGCTGGAGATCAATAAGATCTC